AAAGGACAACCGACGGTACCAGTTACGCCTTGCCAAGTCTGCCGAGGCTCGCCAACGAGAGTTCAAGCCCGGCTGCGCGCTTTGCAGCCGCCACCGAGCTTTCAGTGAGCTTCGACGACGAAGCGGACAGCGGTCCTGACGCCCACGATTATGAAGATTACGAAGACAAGACGCCGGCCCCAGAGCCAGGCGCAGCGACATTGGGTTCCCATTTGGGTGTTAGCACTAATTGTATTTGTATTCTAGTGAGACGCATCCACGGAGAAATGACGCCGGTGCCGGCTCCAGAGCTTTTTCGCGACTACCACCGCTGGATGGGTGGAGTCGACGTCCATGATCAACTCCGGTTGCAACGTTACAGCGTGCAACTTTGCTACAAAACACGCAAGTACTACAAGACTCTGTTTCTGGGGCTTCTGGATATGGCGCTCGTGAACGCGTTTATCGTTCATCGACACTATCGAAAGGTAAACAGCAGGCGCCCGCCAAAACACTTCTCGTTTTTTGAGGAATTGATGGAGCAGCTACTGGCAGTAGATTCAATCGAAGCGTTTGACGAGATTGAGGTAAGTCAAATGTTGACCAGTCAACATAACCTCATCTGCTTCAGCAGCCTTCCAACATAACAACTAACTTATGGTGGGCTTGACTGTATTGGAACAGCAAGCGACATCTGCGCAAGATAGAACTGCCCCTTCGCCGGCAAGAGCAGATTCAACACAGCTACAAGGAAGCTCATCGTCAGCTATCGACGGACATTGTTTAGAAGAAAACCCAGATACTGTCGATTGCGAGCAGGGTGTGAGGCGACGCCACCGATCATGCAAAGTCTGTGCCATCTACAAGGTCAAGCCTCGCAAGTTTACGAAATACTTCTGCCCGGAGTGCTCGAACGGGAACAAACGGTGCGTAGCTCGCTTGGTACCCTTACCGTAAGCTTTGGCTAACTCGTTTTGATTTAGTAAATACCTATGCAACGTTCCGCGTGAAGGCAGGGTCAGTACGTGCTTCAGCATTTGGCATGCTGATTGGAACAACGGCAACGACATCCCGCGCGACCTACTGCAAGAGCACAGGACACGTGAACGACCGCCAGCGTCGCGGCCAGGCAAGAAGCGGAGACGCAGACAGCAGGTAGGCGAGAGCGGAGCAAGTGCTGGTGCTGGTGCTGGGGAGTCGAGCGAAGAAGATGATGAAGCGGTGGAGGAGGAGGCGTAGTGGTTGCGCCGTCTGGTCGTACATGTCTATGCAAGGAGCAATCAATTGATACGGCACTTGATCTTTCTTGTTATTGGCTATAATAAATGAACTCACCGCTGCTGGACGTATGCAACAGCACAAAGATAGGCTAATCAATAAACAGTACATATCTTATGTTTATTTATACAGCATAGTTGTATATGACCGTCTCAATGTACTACATAAACCCTCCTTTCTGTTGGAGAATCCGTACTATACACACTGGCAAGTCGTTGTTACCACCCCGAACCCGCGCCGAGATATCCGGACTTAATTGAAACCCCATACAAATTCCTTTATATCTGTATATGGGACGAGGTCAAAATATACCCTCATATTTGAGGCCGGGAACTAAGGGGTTAAGTACCTTTTTTTCTTCATTTTAAGTACGAAAGTATTTTATTCTTAAGTTTAAATGTTTCTTTCTTTTAAGTACGAATTATAGTTCCAGTGGTATTAAAACATGATAGATATTAATACGTTCACAGCTTTGATTTTTCGGGTTTTGTTTTTACTTTTTTTTATAGGACATGATTTAACAGTATATATCTTGTCCTCCAAAGAAAATTAAAATCAAAAACCGAAAAATCGAAGCCCTGACTGGTTGGATTTTAATATAAATCGTGTCCTCCAAAGAAGAATTAAATCAAAAACCGAAAAATCCAAATCGATTCTGATCAAATTAGATGCCATAATATTATTAGCACCTCTAATTTGATCAGAATCGATTTAGTACTATCAATAGTACTACTATCTTACTTCCGATCCGATTGCGCTCTCGAGCGCCGTGTCATATTGCTGTCATTCGACAATTCTCCATGGCTGAAAGTTTCACCGTTCAAGACCACTTCGTGGAGCTGGGATACACCATCGATGATTCCACCAAGGGCCCGATATCCCACCAATGCCGCGGGTGCGGAAAAAAGTATCGCCTGATCGACATTTTTCGTAAGAAAAAAAACAAGCCTCAGCAAGTCGAGGGCGAGGAAGCACTACAAGGTGTGCAAGGGCAAGAAAACGTCGAAGGTCAAGGAACCCTCTAAGTCCAAGAACCCGCGTTTCCAGGACCATACATTTTCTTCGAAAGCGAAGTGTGTGACGAATTAATGAGGGTAGCCTAGTTTTATTAAAAACGATAATAAAACAACTACATCCTTGACAACACCCGATGGCAGCCGTTGCCAAGCCATAAGGGTTTTAGGGTTGTATATTAGAGTTTCCCTCCCAAAAAAAACTAGCCTAACAAGTGCATTTGAAATTTCGCACACATATGTCAAAAGATATAAATATTCTGCTCACAAAGTTTTAATCCAACGGGCACCGGCAAGTATACAAAAACTAAGAAATACCGATACAGCAAAAACAAGCATATTAACATATGATTTTCTCAACGGATATGAAATCAGCGGTGTCGGTTTAGGGGGGCTATGTCACGGTCGTAGGCCTCTAAAAGGGGCAGAACAGTCTTAAACTGAGCAATGTATTAAGCTCATTTTAAATACGAATTTATCTTTATCTTAGATACGATTTTCCCCATTTTTTGAGAACGATTTTTCTTCATCCTCAGTACGAATGGTCTTAATCTTAAGTACGATTTTTTTAATATAAGTACGAGCAATATATACCCTAAGTACGAATTAATCTTCGTCCTAAGTACGATTTTTTCTTTATTTAAAGAACGATTTTTTATTATCGTACATACGATTTTTTTGTCCTCAGTACGATTTTCTTCATCTTAATTAAGAATTTTCTTAAACCAAGATTTTTCTTTATCTTAAGTACGAATTTTTCTTCATCTTAAGTACTATTTTTTTATCATGAAGATTATACTTAAGTACGAATTTTTCTTTATCTTAAGTACGAATTATCCTTTATCTTAAGTACAAAAGTTTTTTATCTTAAGTTTGAATATTTCTCATCTTAAGTTCGATTTTTTCTTTATCTTAAGTACGAATTATAGTTCCAGTGGTATTAAAACATGTAATATATAAATACGTTCTCAGCTTAGATTTTTCGTGTTTTGATTTTATTCTTCGTTATTGGAGCTCTACCAAAACCTACACAAACCGATTTTTGCGTCTGACATAGCTGTGACGTATTCGTTGTCACAAATCGGTAGTAAAATGTTAAGACGTTGTTCTTGTCTCCACAAAATGTGTCGACGCAAAATCGTTGTACCTCATTTCTGGTACAGCTATCAGTGTCCAGTCAGTCATGCCCACTTCTAAATACTCCTGCCATGAGCCGCCGCAATGCTGATAGAGGACCGGGCTTCACTACGCCTCAAGTTGAGCGTACGTACCATAATGCATCACAAACAGGATCTCACGAATACATTTAGCGTTGCTTTTACTATTGCTGGCCTCTTATCTCTCGTTGAGCAGTTCCACGATCTCGACTAGCATACAACGTGTACCAGGGAGACTTAGCAGGATCAATGTGTCAGAACATTGCGATCAAAAGCATACATACAACGCAGCCGTAGAAGCAACAACACCTGCTTCTTTAAGCGCGCATTCCGGTGCTCGCACGCTAGCACAAGTCACTGGGCCCTAGCCATCAAAAAGGTGAATGGTTCGCGTACATGTACCCATAACGTTAAAAGTGTTGATTTTGGTATGATAGCAGACATATCACAAATTCGACATATATTTGAACACATTTCACTTTCAAATTTGTGTCTGTGATTGCATTTGTGTAGGTTTTGGAAGAGTTCCATTGGACATGATTTAATAATATATGTGGTGTAGTGATTTCTCCGTAGTTGCGGATTATCACCCGTCGACAAAGACGTGACACCGCCCAAGATGTTCAAGCGACGAATTCTCGGTCAGGTGATGTACGGAGACGCCAAGGTGCCAGCGACTCGACGGCGTCACTCCCGAGCTTTCAACGAAGCATTGGATACGGCCATATGTCACTGAATCCAGGCTGTCCTTATTATTAATAATGGACTGGCCGGATTCGCATTCAGCGGACCATCTACGGTACGAACCCTCAGTGGCTGTTGGGATGAGTTCGCGGAAGACTCAGCGACCATTACAAGACACGTTCACCGTCTGGGACAGGGCGCGGACCGTTAAAGATGCTCATGCGACGGTGCAGACGACGCTTGGCATGCAAGAAGATCCATAACGGATCATTGTTCACGTGATATTTGTATACTTGATTAGGACTTCTTATTAGGAATAGACCCGAAAGGGTAAGCTTAAATACAGAACAGAATTTCTACTCTAGCACACAGCGACGTCCGGCTTCAAGGTAAGCGTCTGGTCAAGCTTGTTTGAGTGTGTTATGCCTGTCGGTGAGCTCGAAGCTCTGTAGCGAGGGTTCACCCGGCAAGGCCAAGAGACTTGTGTATTGGCCGATTATTATCGGGAGGTTTTACGTGACGGCTTATTGTTGCCTATTTGCACGACTGGGAGTGCTTTAATTGCCTCCCTTTTATTCTTCCAACCGAGTGTTGAACACTCGGTGATCTCGTAAAAGGCTTACCCGTGCCTGGTACCCTTTCGCTGTTGGGACCACGAGGATTCAAAACACCTGCTAGTTTTGCTCGTGCTAGTAGCGTGTTCTTAGTTTTACTGGTTGGCCTATATAAGTAGTTTACAAAGTCCAGTTTGTCCCGGTGCAAGGGCAGAACTGGGGTCTTCAGGTCCGCCCGAACGATCGTTTACTATCCTAGTAGACGTATTGTTGTGGGAACATCCTAACTACGTTTGTAGCTAGAGTTCACGTGGGATTTCCAACACCACAACTGGTGCCGCGACCCGGGATCAGATTGTGACCATTGTGAACTGTTTGTATGGCCTTCCACTTTACGAGCAACCAAGAGAAGAAGAACAAGAAAAAGACAAGAAACATGGCGAAAGGACAACCGACGGTACCAGTTACGCCTGCCAAGTCTGGCGGGGCTCGCAACGAGAGTTCAAGCCCGGCTGCGCGCTTTGCAGCCGCCACCGAGCTTTCAGTGAGCTTCGACGACGAAGCGGACAGCGGTCCTGACGCCCACGATTATGAAGATTACGAAGACAAGACGCCGGCCCCAGAGCCAGGCGCAGCGACGCCGGAGACGGCCACGCTATCATCGGGGCTGAGCGGGGCGACCAGGTCCCTTTCGAGGAACCTCGCCGACGAGCTCGATGATGTTGCGGAACCGGAGCTCGCCTATGAAGATTATGACGATGGGACCAAGGGTTCTAAACCTTCGGTGGCGAGTGCAAACATTCAGCCCTGCTGAAGGCACCTCGCCCACCTATCAACGGTGATACACCAGCCGCCAAGCGCGTTTTCGACCGCGTACAAGCACTGATGCAGAACGATGAGTGGATTCAGCTGTTCAAGCCCATCCCCAAGAAAAAGCCGACTGGCCTGCGCTTGCGCAGGAACTTCAATACCCAGTCAAATCGGTTTCGACTAGCCAAGCTGCCGAAGATTCAGTTTCGCTACTGTTGTCGCTGGGCTTCGAGAACGAGACGTACCCATCAACGATGTCGCTCCAAGATTGGAGTCCACATGAAGCCGGAGCTGCTCTCCAGAAATGAACGAAGAATCTTCGGAAGGCGTTTGGCGCTGTTGGCATTAACGCTGGAAAGCAGCCGGTGAGTCGACAGATGATTCAAGATGAAGATCCGGCCATGATTTCACTGCCACCGACACCCCAACGACTCGTTCGTACTCCTCCGACCAAGCGTGGAGCTGAGCGTGGTGCCTTTGGCACTACTGAAGCTTCACCGTACTTTCAAGGCTCGCACATGGTTACGCCACGTTTGGAGAGCCGTATGCAACGTATTTACGCTGGTGACGAGGGTTCGTTCGGTCGTCGAGGCGGTGCGCGAGCTCCCAAAGGTGGTGCCAGACGTCGTCAAGTCGATAGCGATGGTTCGTCCAGTGATGATGACATTTTGGTGCGAACATTCGACGAGGAAGATCCTCAACTCGATTTGATGCGTCAGATGAATGAGCTAGCGACGCTGGACAACGTGGACCCGACACCGAGGATTGAAATGGCTTCGCACCGACCGCTGGATCGCATCACGCCGTTCTCAGGCTCTCGCAACAAGAGCGAGAACTGTATGCAGTGGATCCGTGGGTTCGTCTATGAAATGACTGGAACCCACACAGATGCCGATAAATGGTGCATTCCATTTGAGCTAAGTCTCCGGGACAGAGCCATTCATTGGTTCCGTCAACTCCCGAAGAAGACGAAGCGCAAGTGGAAGCTGCTGAGCGATGCGTTCATCCGCTACTACTGCTCGCAGTTCACTCAGACGGCACTGTCGCGTTACAACTCCGCCAAGCGGGAACGTAATGAACATCTGTGCGACTATAAACAGGCTGAATGGCTACGCTCGGACCGCCCGTCTACACTTTGAGAAGAGTGGTCGCGACGCGAAAGAACACGTACAGCAGTTCCTGGCAACATGCGATGATGACAAGCTGGCGGAGAGTCTCTACCACGCTCGAGTCGCCGACATTCACGAGCTCGAAGAGATCATCGAAGATGTTCTCAAGGGCAAGGAGAGGATGGTCAAGTGTGACAGTGAGTACCGATACTCCAAGAGTCGTGACGCGCGACGTGACGATGGATACGCCCGCAACAACCGGCGTGATGACCGTCGCCGCGATGACAACCGAAACAAACCAAGAGTGACGCTCATTGAAGCCACGGTGGATGACCTACTAGCTGAATTAGAAGGTCGTGAAGCTGCTAAGGGAGGCACCGAGTATTCAAACGAAGATTCGAACGCTTACAACGATGTCCAAGACGAGTACAGCGACTTTGAGCCCAATTATACGGATGGTGATTTCTCATTGGATGAAAACGACCGATACCTCGCCGCTGCTAACGAAAATGAGGACCGTGCAGCTGCTGAAGGCACCTACGCACGTTCAGACAACCGTCAACCGCGTGGAAACGCGCCTGATCGTGAGAATGGCTTCAATCAAGATCGCCGAAGCGGTGACCGTGGGTTTAATCAGGACCAACGCGGTCGACGTGACTTCAACCGCGACAACCGACGCCCACAGTACGGACCATGCGCGGTGTGCGGTGGCATGAGTCACTCCGCCCACTACTGTAACAAGCGATGCAAGTTCTGCAAACAACTCCACGATGCTGGACAATGCGAACTTTTCCGCAACTTCCAAGA